TCTAATTTATAAATTCCCCCTGCTTTTACAAAGATACCAAGCTCTTACATGTAGAAATTCTGTGTTTTAGTGAAGGGAAGTGAATTACAAGGATTTTATTCCTCAATGAAGCTGCCCCTGCCAGACAACTTTTCTGTGAGCTCATTGCACAGGCAATTTGCCCTTGTGCACTTGGCACCTTGCTCATCTCTTAATTTAAATGGTCCAGGTGGGTGAGCAGAGCTCCTTAAGGCCCTCCTTGCTCTCTGCCACTGAGGCAAGAGAACAGCCTTTACTGAAGTTCCCCTCTCCCTGCTCTCACTCCTGACAATAGAAGAGGAAAACATAAAACCATAAATTTGGTTTTTGTGAGTGTCTTCATGTGGCAACCAGCCTTGAAAGGAGCCTGAACAAATGTTCTGCTTCCTCCTGCACATGAGCTAACAACCTTCAAAGCCAGTAAGAAATAATTCCCAGGTTGCATGAAAAGAGTAGGGTGACAGGTGAATTTGTTCCTCATTGGGTTCCAACAGAGATCCTGAATCCAGCCAAGACATTGGAAATCTTCGTCATCCTTTGAATGGAAGCAGCAGGTCCCTTGAAATGGCATAATGTCAATGTTTTAGATTGGAACAGAAAATTTGGATGGCAAGAGGACATGATTATCTGGATGTGCTAAAGGCACCTCATCATTTCCTTGCAAAAATATTACCTTGACCACATGTCTTTTATCAGTGAATGATTCCATCACATACCGAGACATCCACATTGGAACCCTACATTCTTTTTCAACCTTATCTCCCAGTTAAGTCCTGTTGTTTTTCTCCTAAATATCTCTGTTCTCTATCTTCTTCTCTTCACAACCACTGTCAATTGTCCAAATCCTCTTAATCTCAGCATCCTCACCCATCCTCCAGAGAGATGCTTATAATCAAGGAATAGTAATTATCATTATAGCTAACATTTAATATGGGCTCACTAGGTGCTGGGCACTGTGCTAATAACTTTACCTCTATCCTTTTATTTACTTTGATAATAGCACATGCTGCTCTACAGTTTTTAATGATTTCCTTCAAAGAAGAATAAAATTGCATTCTTTAATAGAGTGTAATGATCTGGCCCACTCCTGACCATGATTCACCTCCTGCCACTGTCACCCTTTCACTTGGCACCTGCATGATCAGGCACTACTCACAGCTCCCTTCACACACTCTCATTTTCTGTGCTTTTAGACATGCTGGCCCTTGTACCCTACTTGCACCCTCCCCCTCAACTTTGAACCTCTGGTACAGGATCACTTTCTTAGATGACACAGTTTCACCATTGCACACCTTAGAGAATAGTAAGATGAATATTTTGGAACTTTACTACTAAACTTCATTGCCACAAATTCTCAGTGTCCTCAACATACTATGGATTCTATATTCAGACAATCTATGCTAAAAGGAAGGCTTTAGATAACTGTTACAAAACCCAAATCACAATTTTTGCTAACAATCAATATTTAATCGGCCAATCTGGTGATGGGGTTTGTGAAAACACACTTCTTACATGGCAAATTTTGCAACCAGATTCTCTTTAGAACAGGGCTCTTTGTCTGTTTTATTTCATGCTTTTTTCCCACTTCCTAGGACTAAACCTAGCATATTTTAGGCACTTGAATATTTATTTTGTTGATACCAAAAGACACTTTTATGGCTATAATAAAAATCTGGATATATATACTTAATTTTTCCCCACATTTTAGTTTTCATTTTTGATGATGATGAAAGTGTAAACATTTCTAAAAAGAAATTTAGCAATATGTATCACGACCCTAAAATAATGTATACGCTTTTTGGCAGAGACTGCAAACTGCCTACTCAATATCTATTTCCCTCTTCTTTACTAAGAGAAAGAAGTACTTCTCTACTACAGAAATCCTTCATGATTGAGAGGGAAAGGTGTCCAGCTAAACTTCTACATTTCCCAGCCTCCTTGCACCTAAGTATGGCTGTGTAACTGAGTTTTTATGGCTAGTGAGATGTAAGTGAAATTCTTGCGAAGGTCTCCCAGGAAATCTCCTTAGAAGGTGGACAGAACATTGATGAAACTTTGCTTCCCCGTCCTTCCTGAAGTCTAAAACTAAGGTTAGATGGCCAAATCCTTTGCAGTCGTCTTAGACTCATTGAGTCAAAAAGGGTTTATTACAGGCTGTTGGAAATATACAGAAGTTTTAAATGGGCTGTGAAGCTTACCAAGCTGGGGAGTACTGGCCAAGGACTGCATGCAAGGGAGATGATGTTCTGAGGCACATCCCTCTGCCATGGCCTTATTGCTCACCACTTGGTATTTATGACAGGAGAATTTCAACTCATCTTAAAGAACCCAGGCTCCTCCTCCTCGACACCATCCTTTCCAGAGGATCTCGCCTTTCTCTACTTGCCCACCACCTCCCAAACTCCTTCTGCCTCCAAGACTTGCAGCAGTGTGTGTGCATGGAGGAAATCAAATCCCCTTAGAACCTGGAGCTACCAGGAGATCTGGAAAGTATCATTCTCCTTTCTACTTTTCCAGTCTCTGAAGTACAGAAAGACACAAGCAAAGGGGACTGGAGCAGGTGTTGAGAGAACCAGTATGAGGCATTTGCCACTCTCTCAACTCAGTGTCACCTGCAGTTCTTTGTGTCAGGGCTGTTGTTCCGAATCAGCAGGGATATCCAGCAGTGGGAATAAATAGTGAGGTTTGTTTCATGCATGTTATGCTGAGGGAGAAAAAGTTACAGAGTCCAGGAAAGAGAGGCATTTAGAAGACCTCAAAAAATGACAGGAAATATCAATTACTGGCTAGACATAGTCAATTCAATAATTCTGGGGAATCACATCTTCTAGCTGGCCTCCTGCTCTGACCATTGTTTCCTTTTCTGCACAATAATCAATATGATTGTGATAAAAGTCAAGGCACATCAAATTTCTCTTCTGCTCAAAACTCCCCAAAGACATGCCTGATAAGCCACAATCTGCACCCCCCTTGCTCCCTTCTGGACCTCATCTCCCACCTCCTCCCAATGCGCTTCCTTTTGGCCACTGCAGCCTTTGTTTCTCCACTGTTCCAAGTACTCTCCTTAGGCCTTTGCTCTGCCGCTTTGACTGGAATACTCTCCCAGGGTATCTGTGTGGGCTTCTCCTAGGTGACCTTTTCAGGGAGGACTTCACTGGCTACCCATCCCTTATTTAAGCTTCCTCTATCCACCAACTTTCTATGTCTGTTCCTCTTTATTTTTTTCTTTGCACTTATTGCCTCCAGTGTACCATATATTTCAGACATTTGTCTTATTTACAGATCATCTCTTCCCACCTCCTAAAATAGAAGTCCAATGCAGGTAGAGATCACTCTGTCCTTTCTTCATCATTGTCTCCAAAGAAACTAGAGCAGTGCCTGGCACATGAGAAGTGCTTCATAGATACTTGTTGAATGGATGAATAAATTAATTTACTGGTTAAATTAAAAAGCCATCAGACTGATGACAAATTTTTCCATAGAGGGATCTAATGTAAGTGGGATTTCTAAGGAGACAGAAAAGGAAATTTTCTAACTCCCTCTTCCTTCCAGAGTTCCCTGGGGCGAGGACTGTGGTCGGGGCTGTCTGCCAGCCACCCTCTGTAAGAAACCCTGGAGCTGACATAGTTTAGCTGTTGCTGGGAAAGAACACTGGCTAGGGCGCCAGGAGAGCAGACTGCAGCCTTGCCTCTACCCTTCCCACTCATATGGCCCCTGATTTTACTGTTGGAGAAATAGGATTCTGTAGGCTCGCTTCTACTTCCTTCCATGGTGTATTGGCCATGAAGGAACGATTCACTGATAAGAGATTTATCCTCCATGAGTGTAACTCCAATGCTTAGGGGCTACATTTTTAGCCTTTGAATTTCCTCCAGAAAGGCTCATGGCTGTAAAATTCTTTCTTTCCACCCCATTAAGTGGGGTCACATCCCCTAGGCTGTGGCCTTCTGCAGGCTTATGCTGACACTACAGGCCCACAGGGCTACCCATGGCCTGCCTCTTTAGGACACGGCATCTCTTCTGCTGCTGCAATCTTGCTGTCCAACCTCCGTTGCTTCCCTAAATACACAAGCTTTCCCTGCACCTTTCACAGGAGTGTCTTGAAGGAATCCAGGAACATTTTTCTTTAACCTGCCTGAGATTTGTTTTGGCAGGGGTTCTGAAGGCTGAAGTCTTGAGAGATTTGGGCTCTGTTAAATTATAGACATAAGTTCAGTGAAGTAAATAGCTCAGGCAAAAATTGGAGTACCCTCTCTGTTATTTCTGTGCTTGAAACTCTACCCATTCTTCAAACCTGACTCTAGAACTGTCTTCATCCACGAAGCCTTCCCAGGTCACCATAAGGAAGGGCATCCTACTCTCCCAGTGGCTGGGTGGCAGCACAGAATGGAAAAAGAGCCAGGCTGATCAGATCCCAGGTCCTGTTAGCAGGTAACCTCAACAGTTCTCAAACTTCCCTGAGCCTCCGATTTCTCAGCTTTAAGCAATGACAGTGACAATATACTGCATACTTGAAAATGCTAAGACTGTAATTTTAAATGCTCTCACCCCCTAAAATAAGTATGTGAGTTCATGGATATGTTAATTAGCTTGATCTAACCATCTACAATGTGTATATACATCACAACATTATGTTGTGCACCATAAATAGATACAAATTTTGTCCATTAAAAACAATTTAAAAATAATGACAGTGAAAATAATAGTACCTAACATTTATCAAGGGCTTAAGCCAGGCACTGTGCTAGATACATTACATTGTCTGTTTTAATCAATCATCTTTTACAACCCTGTGAGATGAGGTATTTTATTATCCCTTCTTTATATATGAAGAAGCTGAGGGTAAATGGGATGATAATTTATACCTCATTGGGTGCTTAAAAATCCATGTATCCTATCATAAGGTAAGCACTCAATAAATTTAAGCTCCTTCTCCATCATACCCACTAAACCAATTTGTATATGTTATTTTCAACACTTACCATATATTGTCTTATATAGTGATATACAGTACAGTTCCATACTGATTAGAGTATACAGGACAGGAGATGATGGTTAGAGGCCTGGGCTCCTGCCCTTGGACATGTTACTTCATCTTTATGCACCTCAGTCTCTTTCACTGTAAGATGGGAATAAGACTGTTACTCTAAGGATTCATTGAAATAATATATGAATATAGTCTAAAATAATGCCTGGGATACAGTAGCTATTATTACTGCTATTATTTATCATTAAAGTTAAAATACATGTCACTTTTTGTTCAAAGTTTTCTGAACAATAAGATAAGTCTGTTCCATGTTTGTAATCCTGTTTGGGACTTCATCCTATGCCTTGGATGCTATGAAATTATTTCTCAAAGTGCATCCAAAGGGACATCTGCATCAGAATGTCCCAAAAGCTTGTTAAAAGGAAGTGTCTTGTGTATCTCCCCAAAGCAAATGAGTCATGATCTCAGGCAGTGATCCAAAATTTTGTATTTTAACAATCTCTTCAGGTGAGTCTCATGGACACTGAAGTGTGAAGACCATTTTACTAGGAGCACCAAATATTTGTGAATGAAATAAGCAAATGGGCATATGATTAAGCTACTGCTAATAACTTTAGTTATTGGTTACTGGTTTTGCTCCTGACATAGAATTTTTTACTTCAGTTGCTCATTTGGCTTTTCCTTGTCCCAAATCTTCCTTTAGCCCATTTCCTTGGATAGATGGGATAGCTTTCTATTTAGGTACAGGTCTTCCTTAGGCTCTAAAAATTTCCTGGGAGTTTTTATACCCCAGCTGATTCATTGACAAGATGTGCATAGACTTATGCACACTCGGGGTTTTGGCCTCTGAGTATCATCCTGAAGTTCTATTAAGACAAGTTATATTGATGAAGGATATAAGAAAACAAATACCTCAAAACTTTCAAAATACTATAATAATAATTTTCATTGGCATTTAGGTCTTTTTGACCTGAACATTTTAGCCAAGGGAAGAACAAAAACTTGAGTCACATGAAGCATATCAATTATATACATAGGTATTCTGGATTTCTTTTTATACCAACTAGATGTTTTTAAAGGATACTTTTTAAAGCATCACTAAAGTAAAAGATTATTGTTCTATAAAGACATGTCATGCCAACATTTCAGTAGAACACTACTCCTTTAAAAATAAAAGAGAGGAAAGACAGGATAGTGATGTGGTCAGCAGAGTAATAAATTAGATTCACCTGGCAGAGTTCATTCTTCAGGTCTGAGGAATGTAAAAGAACACATTTCTAGTGAATGAAAAAAAAATCCACAGAAAAAGAGACCAGTTGCAAAACATGAAAGGAGAGGTTACAGTCTCAAAACCCTGACTCCAGCACAAACAGCATTCCAGGTTAAGAGTCATACTCCCTGGGTAATTTCTATACCAAATATGCAACATTTTACAAGTCAAACAAAAGCTGTCAAGCCCAACAAAGCCCAAGCTAGTTTAATTTCCCCCACAAAAAGGAAGACAGTAACAACCTAGAATTGAACACTGTTTTTTTATTAATGATGCCTATATATTAAGTTTTTAGTTGAGTTGGATAGTAAAAAAACTACACACTAAAATGACTTCTTCCAGAAGGTAGTAATTGTCATATGCTAAAAAGCTCACCCTAAAGTTCTATAGCATTTGCATGGTATCAGCTCTAGCAAGTTTCTCACCTCTTCATGCTTTAATTTCTTCATCTGCAAAGTTAGAAAAAGAATTGTGCCTATTATGTGGTTGTGAGGATTCTATATTATAATGCCCATAGAGCTCTTAACACAATTCATTGTATATCATAAGACCTTAATCAAAACTAGTTTTATATTTATTTTATTTTTTATTGCATTTTAGGTTTTGGGGTATATGTGAAGAACATGCAAGATTGTTGCATAGGTACACACATGGCAGTGTGACTTGCTGCCTTCCTCCTCTTCACTTATATCTGACATTTCTCCCCATGCTATCTCTCCCCAACTCCCCACCCCCTGCTGTCCCTCCCCTATTTCCCTCCAACAGACCCCAGTGTGTAGTGCTCCCTTCCCTGTGTCCATGTGTTCTCATTGTTCAACACCCGCCTATGAGTGAGAACATGTGGTGTTTGATTTCCTGCTCTTGTGTCAGTTTGCTGAGAATGATGGTTTCCAGGTTCATCCATGTTCCTACAAAGGACACAAACTCATCGTTTTTGATGGCTGCATAATATTCCATGGTGTATATACACCACATTTTCCCTGTCCAGTCTATCATCGATGGGCATTTGGGTTGGTTCCAGGTCTTTGCTATTGTAAACTGTGCTGCAATGAACATTCGTGTGCATGTGTCCTTATAGTAGAACGATTTATAATCCTTTGGATATACACCCAGTAATGGGATTGCTGGGTCAAATGGAATTTCTATTTCTAGGTCCTTGAGGAATCGCCACACTGTCTTCCACAATGGTTGAACTAATTTACACTCCCACCAACAGTGTAAAAGTGTTCCTTTTTCTCCATATCCTCTCCAGCATCTGTTGTCTCCAGATTTTTTAATGATCACCATTCTAACTGGCATGAGATGGTATCTCAATGTAGTTTTGATTTGCATTTCTCTAACGATAATCATACAAGATTTAGCTTGGAAACAAAGACGTCCATCTGTACTGGAATGAATAATCTTTGTTTATGAACCTAATAATAATAATGAGATACGATGTGTAGTCCTAGCAGGGGAACTAAAGCTCACATGGAAACTGAAGAAGAACATGGAAGTAAGTCCAATTATCTGAACACTGAACAGCAGGAAGTGTTTGATATATTTTAGTTGGACATAGCGAGCTGTAAAGGAGATGGTACTTTTAAACAGGACTCATGTCATCAAGAAGTTTCTATGCCAACAATAATTCATCATATATTTAGGAAATAGTGCCAAATGCAACCCAGATTATCTGAGTTGTAATTTCTAGGGATAATGGTCATCTGTTAACTCCCTTGCCTCTGAGATACACAAAACACTAAATATGAATTTGTATGTTTTCACAAGTTACATTGTAATGGTGAGGGAGTGGGTAATATTAGTTTCTGTTTTCCATTGGACAGAAAGAGGTTCAAGAAGATAAAACTGCTTTCATAGAGTCACTCAATTGAAATAGAAACTCCATCTCTTAACACCAAATTTCAACTTAACTTATGTAAAACTCACTGCTTTCACATGGGCTTAGAGTGTACAGTAGCCCTGATTTCCTTTGGTTTCATGTTCAAGAGTAATAACTCATAAATTTAAACCAATTCCATGGTTTGTCCTATCACTGGATATGGTTTACGGTGTTTTTCTTTGCAGCTTCTAAGAAAATGTGATGCAGGTGTGAGTCTCATGCTGGGCAGGATTAGAAGGCAGTGCACTCATGGGGGCTCTCGGGACCCACACCTTTGGTTTTCCATTACAAGCAGGTGCACCAAGCTGGGATCAAATACAAGATCTGAGAGAGAAAGGCCTGCATTCCAGGAAGCAGCCTCACCTGCCAAGCAGGATGCTGCAAGGTAGTTGGGTGAAACTTGAGGATCATAGAGATGGCTCTCCTGAAAGGAGCTCCCATCCATGGGGAAGTTTTATATATGGAAAATGTGTGTCAGAGTTTGAGATGATGACCAGTCAAGATAAGAGCAGTACGGTAGAACAGTCTGCTATAATAGAAGCTGAAAGGTCACTGACATCGAGCCTATTATTTTAAAACAAATGGATAAACAAAACTGTAAAGAAAATAGAATCTGTCAAGAACAGATAGTCCAAAACTTGCAAGCAGAAAGCAAATGAAATAAGAGAAAAATAAGCTTTTTGGTACCAGTGTTAGTTATCATTTGTTATTCTCAGAAATGAAAAATACATATGTCTAGAAATATACACCTTAGGGAAAACATCAGAAACATGTCAAAGATTTCTGCTAGATGTTCATCACTGTGTTACTCAGATTAATAAAATAATGGAAGCAGATTTAACGTTCAACAGTGAGAGCATTCCAAATAATTTAGCACATATTAATACAAGTAAATATTAGCCATTAAATACATATTTAAAGACTGTTTTATGACATGAAAATGTTTACAATATTGTATTCAGGAAAAAAGCAAGGCATAAAACATGTATGCAGTTTGATTTTTTGCAAAAGAAACACAAGAACATAAAAGAAAAAAAAAACTGGAGGTAAATGCCATAAACAATGATACCCTATCATTAGGTGATGAATTTGTGAGAGATTTTTTTATTCTTTATGTTTAAATTTAAAAAAAATACTGAAAAATACAACTAGCTTTCAATAATATGAAGAAATATTATTTGAATAAAGATTATATAATAAGCACAGAAAGATGGCCAATGTGCCTGGAAACCATTTTCTTTCCCTACTAAAAGCTACTGTGCATATTAAACCTGAAGAAAAACAATTCCAAATTAACCTTATGCAGCACCAACCCTATGACTACCTTGATTCAAACATACAGGAATTCACCAAGACCACACTACTCAGCTGGCCTCAGGAATGCACACGTCTGAGCCATTTCCCTTTGGCCATGTGGGGAACATCATTCCCATATATCCAGACTTGTAAGCAGTCCAAGTTCTGTCATTTTCAGTGGGTAAAGCGGGGAAGAGGGCTACGTGATGGCATGCATAGAATCACATATCATCTCTTGTGCCATTACATCTTACCAGCTTTCTCCAACATGCTGTTTATTTTTTTCCCCTCAAGAATTTGTCCAAAATTTGATATGTGTAAAAGATGTCTGTTTAGCCTTCCTTCCTTCAGCGTTTTCACCATGCATTCAAATGTGTGATATGAAAACTATCTGACTACCTTTAAAACTTTTATATTGTCTGCATTGAATTCTTTCTATTTATTGTTTATTTGGTTTTTAAATGTTCTCCTCTTGGAAAGTGAGCATTTTCATATGCTGCAAGTAGGAATATGAACTGGTACAACATTTTTAAAGGATCTTTTAGTGATAAAAAACACATATACACATATGTTCATATAAGTTTACCTACTTGAAAGTATGTCATACCCTTTAACCCCAAATGCCACTTCAACGGGTTTATTCTAGGTAAAGTAATCAGCAATAT